CGAATTATTGGATATGTATACAGACTTAAAATTAGATTATTTCGATTAAATTTAATTAAAATAAACAAAATTTCTAGCTTATTATTTGATATAACGATAATTTTTGACTAATAAAGTAGACTAATATTCTTATTTCGGTCACATTTTTATGTGTGGTAATTATTGAAGCTGATCCTTGGTGTTAACATTATCGGACAGCCATATTGTAGTAAACACAAAAAAATCAAAGGTTGAACAAGGTATATATTTGTTTAAATGATAAATTTTCATATTTAAGCCTCGTACGTTTTGGTAATAGAGTGAATATGTAAATTATGTGATTTTTATTCACGTTATTTGGATTAATAATAGTGGAATTATCTTTTATGTGATAATATTCTTTTCATATCGTTTTCGTCGATTTTCAAACTCTTTGCGTAAATTAGATATAAATTTGCGTTGTTTTTCAGTATGATATGATTACATTTTAATGTTTGACCATAATGATGTAGAACGTAGATTAGATTGAGCATGAAGAATATAAAAAGTATGATTTACCTCTGGAAAAGTAACTTTTAAAGGTTGATCTTTGTTAGTAGATTTTCCTAGTGAAATTTCACAGTTATATAATTTAAATTTAATTCATAAAGAATTATTTTAATTTTATTCGCATCTGAGTTTGTATTTGATATATTTGTTTGTGTTTGATACTACCACAGGCAAATGAAGTACTAAAATATTTTTTGCGCGAGATTGACGGTCGAAAAGTTCATCAATAATATTAAGTTCAGAATTCATTGATTAACATTTATTTAACGTTTTGAAATTATCTTCAAGTACTGTAATTTAATTTCAGAATATCAGTAACTTTGAAATTGAAGCAATTATAAAGAGAAAACATTTAACCATTACATAACCGAGAATCGTGGTTTATAGCACACCTGTATATAGCAATTATTGAGAGGAAGAATCATCGTTGTAATACGATATTGTAAAATCAAATTTCTCACAGTTATTCTTGCTACATTTACAAAAACCTAAATTATTTTTTTAAATTCATAACAGTTTAACATAAAAAATTAAAGTCAGTACGAAATATAAAATAGTTTCATATTATAATGATTTATTATCATAAAATTCATCATAAAATATAAAATTGTATATTTTTAAGTGTGTGATTTTTATTTCCTGTAACTTATTACTACAAAGTTTTGAATAATGATTTAATAGTATTTTTAGTACTTATTAACTATAAATGTATTGATTATTATAATTTTACGTTTATTGTTGTTAGCGAATAAAAATAAAAACGTAGAATAAAAAATTAAAATTACATTTTTAATATAATATTATGAATATAACGAACAACAATATAGTTATGGTGTGCATGAAAGTATTGTCTTAATTTTTTAACAGTAACATTTTTTATAAGTTACAAATTTTTCAAACGAAAAAAATATTAAAAACAACAATTTTGTTTTGATGATTACGGAAAAGTATTATTCATGCAATTATACGAGTACTTAAATAAATATTAAATACAGTTATAGTATAACTAATTTAATTATTGTTGTTTATAAATTACAAATTTTTTGTTGTCTATAAATATCATTTTTTTAAGAGTTGCAACGTAGGGTTTTTAAATGATAATTATTTATTACTCATCAAGAGAATTCATAACTTAATAATTGTAGTCTCTTTGAATACAAATATTATGCAGTAGTGAATATACATTTATCCATATAAAAAAATTAATTTTACATTATTAATTACTAGGGAACGGATTTATATGTAAATGCATATTTTTATTAAAACGAGATATTTAAGATTCGATAAGAAATGTTTATGATTTAAATCATTCCTATTAAAATTATGATACTTTTATTTTACATATTTTTACATATTTTGGTATAATTACATATTTTTACATATTTCACTAATTTTTAAATATTTTTAAACATATTTTCATAATTTCATCATTCATACGTCTTCTTCGTACGAAAATACAAGAAATTATTTCAAAATTAGTTCCAGAAACTTTTATCGCTATTGGAAAAGCTCAAAATACTATGCAAAATGAAACATTGAAAATAATTTAATTTTTATTAAAAATAATTTAACAAAATTATAGTAAACGATAGTATGCAGATTGTTGAATTAGCAATTAAAACTCCTAAGCGGACCAATAGATGTCGTAAAAAAGAAAATTCATGCTGTTACAGAAAAAAATTCCAGGCAATATTGATTTTAAAACAATTAATGACATAATGAATGGCAGACAACCTTTTAAAAATTTGAAATTATCGCCTTCTGATAGTATGCACTTGAAATATGCTTTTAATACATTGGTTGATATGAAACGATAATTTAGCTGTTTTAAAAATATTTTGATACCTAATAGGCGACATTTAACATTTGATAATTTACAAGATATTGTAATAATTCAATGCAACAAATCTTTTTGATAATTTAATAATAATAATCACTTTTTTTTAAATTTTTTTTCCCCACATATTTGGATGTTTTTAGCACATATTCTATAAATTATACTTACATATATTTGTACATATTTTTGTATTTTTATTACATATAAATCCGTTCCCTATTAATTACTATCGGTATGGACCATTGGAAATATCTAAAAAACTAATTTAATAATGTACTCAAACTTAATAAAATTAATAAATTTATTAATGTGTTTTATTTATACTTTATGGGCTATTTTAATAAATTAATATTTGTCTTTTGAATTTTTAACTTTATGATTGTTTAAAACAAATCTTTTGAAATACCAAGTTCCAAAAATAGTTGTTATAACCAAATTTCTTAATAAGGTATGTTAAATTTTTGAAGAACTAACTTTTGTAAAGAATAGGCACTAGGGTGGGTGAACCATTAACAAAAAACAAAACTATTGTCTTTCGTACTATCAAACTATAACCAATTAAAATATTTTGAAAAACAAACTCTAATCGCTAGGATTAATATTTATAGAACCAAATTAATATTATCGTACAATTGAAATTTGGTAAATAGGTTTTTGATATTTAAATCACATATTTTATCAAATAGTTACAAAATACAACGTGTATAAAAACATTAATTTTATGTGAAAAATAATATTCATTTTTTGTATTTAAATGTTTAATTCCAGTAAAGAGGATAATCATTTTTCTGTAGTTTTTTTTATAAATTTCAGAAAAATTATGAATATAAGACATTGTAAAGGTGTGAGTGATATGACAGTTTCAGTTTCAGTTTTCTTAATCGTATTAGAAGTGAAACACCAAATATAATTTATTATTAAATGGAAATTTTAATTTATACAGAATTGACTTTATTAATTAATAATCAAATTAAGGATGTTTCTCAATATCTGTAAAACCTATTAATAGTCTATAAAAATATTTTCTAAAACCTTTAAAATATATTATATTTCATAGCCAAAGCAGCTATTTTTTCCGATTAACGTTCCAAAATAATATATTATCATATTATATTATATATATATATATATATTATATTACATGCATTTTATATTGTAGTTATTAATGTATCTTTAAATATAAATAATTATTTTAGAAAATAATATTAAAATACTAATAATAGTTCCATACATTTGATTAAATTATTTGTAGGTTAGAAGATTAACTGTTTAATTAATACTTAATGATGTAAGACGATTTTTATATGTCTAGGTACTATAAATGTATGGAAAATTAATTGGTAAATTATTTTTTCGATTTACAATTCAGAACTTCTGATGATAATTTTATTAACTTATTAACTTAAGATTATTAATTAAACATATTTTATATGTTAGTGCTTAGAGGATTTTTGGAAAAAAATCGATTGGTAGGATAGATATTCTTTGTTTTACAAACTTAAAAATATGTTTTACTCCACACAATCAAAACTCACGCATAATGAGTCATATGATTTAATTGATACACTAGATACAACATTTAAGAGTGAAAAATTTTTAAGTGGAATCCACCGAAAATGCAAAATTTGTGTGTAGCGCATTCTACACGCATTCTGACACGACATGATGCGCAAGCAATCAGTAGCGTTTCGGTTACCCTTGCGTTGATTTATCGATCAAACGCGACATCGGTTCGACCTTCTATTAATGTTTGGTCGTCGACATTCAGATTGAATCGCTCGTGGCGCGTTTATACTGTATATTGCTTTTGTGCTCTTGTACAGGTCTACCTATTCAGTCTTCCAATACTATGGGAAGATTTATAATAACATTCGCAGAAATAGAAAAATGTACTTAATGTTCTGTTTACTATCGAAAACAGAATCTATATTATATTATTATATCATAATGAGCCCAATATTTTAAAATTATCATATTTTAAAAAATGACAAAAAATAAAACTGATGACAAACTGTAAATTTCGGAGAAATATACATTTTACATAATAATAGAAAAGTAAAACGGCAATGTGTACGCATAAACGCACACAATCGTACGGACATTAATCGCGTACCTAACCTAACCTTAGGACTCTTTAATATAATGTTGATTTAATTTACAATAAAAATATTATGTAATCGTATAGTTCTGTTGAAGTTAATTCAAAATGTCCCCGTTTTCCTAGATAACCCTGTGTAAACCAAGGCGTTCGGTTGACTCTATACGCGGTCGACGGTCGCGCGTAACCATGCAATAGGCATCTGCAGTATTATACGAGGAAACCCGTAAATCGGACGAGTAATTCGTTCAACACGAACCGTGGTCGTGTTCTACCTGACGAGATCCTACGACCGCGGTGCGAACCATTTACCGTCGGATACAATCCGGTTGGAACGTCATCGTCACTGTGGTCTCGGGCCGAAGTATAGCCCGTGCGTGCGTGCACGCGTCAGTGCTAGTGTGTGCTAGTGCGTGCCTGTTGGTGTGTACCTGTATGCGTGCATGTTCGTGTGAGCGTGCGCGCGCGAACGCGTGTGTGTGCGTGTACGGGGGAGGGAGCGGCGGCGGTGGCTCATTCCAGAGGCGGCAAACGCAGTCAACAAGTAGGTAGTGCCACGACGTGACCGGTAGTAGTGACTTGTACGCGCGCGCGCGACGTCGACGTGTTTGGTATCCGTTATAAGAATCGTTGTGCGAATCGCCCCTCGTACGGCGTTTAGTGGCGGTGTGTGTCCTGCTCGACGGACGAACAACAATATAATCGTTTTAAATAATAATCGCTGCAAGTCGCGTGTACGACCGTCAAAACGAGTCGTATTGTAGAATATTTTTAGTAAGATTCAGTCAGTTGTTCGTTTGTTTTGTTCCCCCTTCTCCTTCTCTGTTGTTAATTGTTTCTTCTTTACAACTCCGATCGTCAAGACTTCTCTCCCCGTCCCCTCCCAAAGCGGGAACTCGCTCTTTTTTTTCCGATTTTCACGCGTGTGCGCGTGTGTCTCCGACGTGCGGCGGTCGAAAGCAATTAAAACGTTTGGTGGTGCGCGCCATTATTTTGTGATGTTCTGAAGCGACCGCGCCGCAAATCGTTAACGCGCGCGCGGGCGATGATGATCCGACGAACGTCAGGTACGCCGCCGACGGCCGTGACGGCGACGTTTTTGCGCTCGTCGCACGTCCTGGCCGTCGCCGCTGTACTACTTCTACTGGCAGCCGTGGGATTCGGCCGAGATGCTGGTGAGTGCTTGCAATTATTATTATAACGTTTTTGTCTTCGTGATTTTCATCCTGGACGGCGACCGTACACTCGTATCCGTTACGTACCTTTAACCTAGTGTTTACATGATAGGTTAAGAATCAACCGAGATTCAAAAAACGATAAACATATATATATATATATATATATATAATAGCCTGTGTGTGTGTAGTGAAGAGGGAATAGAGTGAAAATCTTTTCGAAGGTTTTGATGTGAGATAGAAAACTTCCAAACGACTAGATGCCGCGCTAAGGCCAACGATAAAGTCACTTATTTTGTTCCACCTATATCCTTTATAAATATTTTTAATACACAAACGCGCTTACGCCGCAACCGTGTATTATCAACGGCTAACACCGGAGGGATTTTATCTGATACAATTACATTAATCAACCGACAGCGGGCATACTCTCGAGACTGGGTTTTTATTTTTTTATTATGTCACCGCTGTGATGATGTCAACCGTTGTTACGATTACCGGGTCGACAACAATTTGAATACATCTCGACAACAACAACAACAATAATAATAATAATAATAATAGTAATATGTTTTACTCCGGGATCTTGCCTTGATATAACTATTAGATTCGATTGCTTTTATAGTCATCCTTTGCCGGAGATTTACTTCGCGGTGATTGTATAGTTGGTCCGCGGGTAAGTAGATAGCGGTCAATTAGAATGTGATCTTACAAATAATTAGTACTTTTTAATTTCCAGTATTCGACCTGGCGAATAATTAAACATTTTTACCCTATGGGAAAATTTAAGTGAATCTCGAAATCCGTCAGGAATTTCAATTTTTAAAAATATTGAACTACTTACTCGCTATTTGCTCATGATTATTTTTTTTTGTGTTTTTGTAATAATAGTAAGAGGTAGTATTATAAAATGACAAAATACATTTTTAAAATATTATATAATGTATTATTTTTAAAAAACTTAAGCACCCTTAATGTATTTGTTTACGAAATGCCAGTTATATTTATATTAACTAGTCTAGTTTCTTCGCTATTTTAATATAATTGTGATAAGTTTTTCGTATATTGCAGTGGTTCATCCTATTTGATTATTAAAGTTCTATATTGGTACCTATCTTAAGTTCACCTATATTTCTTATTAGCCAAAAAACTCGTCGGAGGGCTTCACATAATATTTTAAAAATCTACATCACAACAATTTGGAGTTGAAAACAAATTGCTTAGTATACTCGTATCTGTACAATTTTACTATTTTAATAATGTTGCCTTAACGTTTTTATCACGATTCATTGCTTTCTTCATTATTATTACTTTGGTTTTGAATTTATTACTAAATAATTACCTCGATAGTTACCTATGTCAGTAATCTATGTCAATGTACTGATTGAACTAATTCATTGAAACTTTCGATCATGAAAGAAGGACTCTAGTTGATTGTGTGTACATTACTCGTAAAATACGGTTGAGGACCTGTCAGGAAAATCTTGGGTATCCAGTTTTTTTTTTTTATATTTTTAGCACAGTTTCAACTATGAAGTTATTAGCTTACGACAAAACAAATATTAGTTACATACAAATGGATACAATGGTTTTCTTAGATTAAGTTATGCATATCACTAAGTTTTAGATATGTGATGACTTTTTTGATGTTTTCTTTGATTAGGCTTAAGGTCTTTAAAGAGGTTGTCAGACATTTATAGGCTTTTTCTAATTGCCTTATGGTTTTGGCAGTACACAAGGAGGTGCTTGACTGTAAGAGGTTTGTCATAGGTTTGGCAAAGTGTTAGATCTTCTCCTCGCATAAGATGACCATGGGACATCAGGTTTATTCGAGTCTTTTTTGTTCATTCATATATTTTTCACCAAGGATGTTACTGAATTCGAAAATACTTTAGTTTCCTTTTTTATTTAAGAATACATCCACGTTAAGATTAACTATACTTTATATTTAAAATATTTTACTAATTGTATCTATTTATATTGTTATTTTATAAAGGAAACTATGAGTTAAAATTATGTTAATCGTGAATATGACACAGATTACTATGAAAACATTCGTCATTTAATAATAATGTTTCAATAAAAAGTACCATCAATAGATTTTTTTTCTGGCATGAAAACCAATTATGTTAATTTAAAAGCCGTAAGCATAATAAATATTAAAAAAGTTAAATATTATGATTTACGAAAACATATATTATCACGTTCACGTATCTATAGAATATTGAACGAAGTGTAACTCGCGAATAAATAACTATAAAATAACACTAGTAATTAATGTTTATGAATTAATATATTATATTTATCTAACATTTATTTTTTGCAGTTACATTTTATTGTACTTGCTGTTAAAACCTCAAACATACACATACGTGATTGTATGTCGATATGAATGATAATGGGTCAACTAATTAGCTTCCTAAATTTTATAGTAGCCTCTAGTGATAACAAGAACTAGAAAAATGCACATGATGATATTTTTTATAAAAAAAATACGTACAAACACTTTTTATATAGATTGGTTGTAAAAATAATAATAAAAGCAATTGTTTAAATGACTGAAAACAATTATTTTTACTAGTTCACTTTCTCACGTGCAAATAATATTGTACAATTATTTTTAAGTAAATAATCTCGGACTATATTATTTACTATTATAATATTATACCGTTATTAGGTTTTCTGCTGTATAACATACCATTTTGCAAATACCTAATTTAGTTATTTACTTTTTTTTATCGTTATTTTATTATTTAATATTTTACAATAGAATAAAAATTAAATAATGAATTTTGTTTTAATTGTTCACTTTTTTGCTAGTTTTTCTTTTGTTATCTTTTTTATGCTATATAATTCGCTTATTGATACAATCGACTAAAAAACGGCGCTCTATAGACAGTAAATATCTTGTATTTTATTTTCATAGTTTGTTCAGAATCTGTTTTCGTTTTAAAAAATTAAATAAATATTAAATAAAGACGACTTGGTAATTTAATGTTAAACTTAATTTACTTAATAATGATAATAATCATAACGGTATACTTACGAACAGTATATATATCGTCAAAACATCTCGTCAATATTTTTGGCGTGTGCTTTACCCTTGTATACCCACTAAAACTAAGCTACTATTAGAATTAAAAACCGAAATTTACATGCAAATTTCTGATTGATCGTAAATATTATATTTAAGTAAAAAAAGTAATTGAAATCGTGAACTACGAAATTCACACATACGAGCATAAGTCCGCTAGGATAAAGTTCAACAACGCATAAACAGTAAATACTAAATAATCGATACTGACAGATGTTTGACGAAAAATCGTTTTGGTTCAATATTGTTTTAATGTAGTGAAAAATAACTGTATAAATAAATAATAAACATGATACATCAATTGTTTTCGTGCGATCTTGTCAAAACTTTTACCCTGGCTATGTATAGTATATTTATATACTTAAGAAAGTTTTCAGTTTTGAGGGGAACTAGAAAATTTTCGAAGGGTCAAGCCCCAGAAGCATCTTCCAATCTCGACCTATACGCATAGTCCGGTATTAAACTAATCATGTAATACATATTTTTTATTGTGCTGGTCTGCCTCGAAGGACTTTTCTACTGCGGTCATCGTAGAACCGGATGAAAACTCGATTCTATAATAATAAAAGATTTACGAGTTTTTATTTGAGTGCATACTATGAAACTTATGAGGAGGTATAACTATAGGGAGAGGAGGAAAAATCGGCTGCGACACGATTGAGCATAAAACACCTTTTTTGCGACACGATTGAGCATAAATTGTCGGCGTATCAAAGGAAATTGAAATACAAAAGAAAACCAACACGATTGAGCATAAAAAACTCTGCAACGTTGCCATTTTCAATTTTGAACTGTATCGTATAAAAACATTTATTTAAATAATTATAATAAATCAAAATATAACATGACAAAAAAATATCATGTTTTCATAGTCAATATTTAATATGCATGAAAATACTTATGATAGTAGTATAAATAGCTGTCACAGTATATAGATATTTTTGTTAATAATAAAATAATAATAATAGTTATGACTTATGACTTATCAAAATAATAAAATCAAAATATTTATAAATAGTTGTCACATTCATATTATAATACAGTATAATATACCTAGCTAGATTTTTTGATAATAATAAATTAAATTGATACACCTTGGTATCTGCTTCCAATTTGACTTAAATAAATTAATAAAGATTCCGTATTCTTACGATTTAAAAACTGGCTGTAGGCTTGAATATTCAATTCATTTTTTTTTATTTCTTTTGCGGATTGTAATTTTCCAGGCTTGTGTCGAATTGAATTGATCTTAGTCGATGTTTCCGCTTGTGTTTCGATCAATACCCTAACGACTGTATGAACATGGGGGTGAGGTGAATAAAACTGTGAATTGTACGTGCGATGAAAGCTTTCAGCTGCATTGGTCGTTCTAAAAAAAATTAAATAAAACAATACAAATTAGTAAAAAAAGTTTTTATAATAAGTTTTAAAAAATATTGTTAAAAACCTTGGGTTTAGCGAAGGAGTTTCCGCCCAAATATTTGGAGGAAACTGGCAGTGATCTTCAATATAGTTGTGTATAATGTAATCAGAAAATATGAAACCGTCATCATTTGGACAAATTGATATTAACTCGTGAAATGCATCAACTACTTCTTCTGGGGAAATAAACGCCAAACCAAAAAACATTTTCAACCATTTCCCTAGTTCATTACTGTTGTCCATGTATGCTATTCTGAGTGAAGGTTCGCCAACAATCTACAAACAAATTATTATATTTTAGTAAAAAAGCACTATATTATATAACTGTTTCTTACTTTTTTCCACCATGATTGTCCTAAATGAAATCTACATCCAATTATTTTAATATTTCCAAACACGTCTGTAATTGCCTGATGAGCTCCAATTTCAAAATCAACATGAAATGTGTTAATTTGCAAACTTTTTTCGCATAATTTCAAACATA